AGTGGTTCGTAATCCATTTTAAGCCTTAAGTCCTAGTCTAATATGACCGCAGATCATTGGACATAGGGCTGACAAACCTATACCGTAAAAATAAATCATCTCTGAAAATAAAAATAAATCCTTTCTGAATCTGCCAGTAGGCAGACGGCCTTGACTCATCGTGTGGGTGTTGCGTTATTGAAGAAGAAGTAACATACGCATGTTTCCAAAAATTTAATGTAATTCATCATGTAATTCCAAAACCCTTGATTAACTCAAAGCATTTGCTAGAATATTCAGTTAATTGCATATGCTATCCGAACGTTTTGTCTTGCAACGCACCCTTTTCCTGTAGCACTTCCTCCAGGTAACTGAGGGAGGCTGAGGATTTGCTGCTTAAAGTGTTCTTCACAATGGAGATGGATATGTAAGTTCCATTTCTGTAATAGCCAAACAGTGTTTAACCATGCCCGCAGTCCGTCGAGTTTTTATTTGTTTATGAGATGCAATTAGAGTTACCCTGGAGGACTGTGGAAGATCTCATCGTCATTGCGGTAACTTTCAAAAGTAAATCTGATATTTCAGAACACATCTGACAATTGTTTCTTTCTTATTGTAATCTATACGTTGGTCGATAACTAAATTAAAACTTGTAATAATTTTGAGTTTCGCCCTTTCGTAATTATTTTGTACGCCACATACAATGTTGCAAACATGCTTTAAAATAAATCTCTGATTACCTGTCAGACATTTTAAGTATATAATTATTTTCCTTGCCTGTATTTGATATTATAAATACGTCCAATAGCATTTCATACGACAATTTTATTTTCTCTTGAAGCCTATGTTCAATACTTTGTTAACACAACTAAAATGAATCCTGTGCTATTTTGTATAGTAAATACCTTAATAATAATACCAAATAAGAATTTTTTGTACGCAAATACCACTTATATATATGTAAGAGGTATTTATATGCAAAAATTATATATATATATATATATATAACTGGTATTTTTTAATTATTTACTTTATATTTTTTATTATTTTTAAATTTAATGATTAATAAATATTTAACTATAAGAAAAATATTTTCTTTCAATTTGTTTTTGTATCTTATATCACACTAAATGATCATCCATATATTTTAGTTATAACATATTAGCCCTAATTGCAGGATCCCTAACAAGTAATTTTCTAAAAAGTTTCTACGACATTTCTTGCAAAAATATGTTCCATTTTAGAATTTTGGATAAAAAAAAATATTTGTGATTGTTGCTAGATAACATATTAAAAAGTGCAAGAATGTTTGGGACAAATATATATGTAAACAACCATTTTTAGATATGAATATAAAAAAAATCGATTAATAAAAGCCATTTGGCTTATTATTTTTCGCGTTGGTTACAAAAAAATATCAGACCAAACACTCATTTATTTAATGTATATTATTTAAGCATCAAATTCTTTGTTTTTTATTATATATAAATAACTTAAATGGATTTATTTGTGTGCTGGGCTCACAGCCAAGCTACTGTAAGGACATAAGGACCGAAGGCATTACAAATCTGTGCCTCTTATATATAAAACCTATTTATGTCATCTATCAAAAACTTTTTCGTCCTCTTTAATAGGCCCTATGATATATGCATATCATAAGGAAAACATGATTTCCTTTTCAATAAAGACATTATTTAGCAAGGAAAGCTATGTCACATTTGTGTACCGTAATAGATAAAACAGGATAATTCCTTATCAGGCAAACCTACTAGAAAACACCGTTCGGCATTATGTTATTTAATTCCTTAAAGCAGTGACTATCCTACCTTAATAGAAAATGGTCTAAGAATTTTTACAGGATAATAAAACCATACGGATGCATGTATGTCAGTCTTTTGATTTGTTACCGTTCTATGACATGATATTTAAATATCCAATAGTTAAAATCTGCCTTTGCAAGGCATGCTACCAATGGGAAATTTTGATTAGCTAATAAATCATGTAATATTTTCATTTATGACATTTCCATTGTAAAAAAAAATGAAATTGGGACTGGTGGCCAAGTGACTGGCACTCGGAGCCATAGGTTTCGGGTTCCAGCCCCGATGGTGCCATGTATGTTTGTAGTGATTCGAAATCCACTTTAAACCGTAAGTCCCAGTCTAATAAGACTATTGGTTGTAGGACTGACAAACCTACCCTGTAAAAAGAAGCATCCCCTGTCTAGAAATCTTCCAGTAGGCTGCGGGCTGTTGCGCCACTGAAGAAGTTACAAAAAAATCACGTAATAGTTTTTCCAAAGTTCCTCAAACTTATAAGATGTGACCTTCAAGGAAGAAGGGACAACTATTGTCAGTGAAAGTTATGCATTTCTTAAAGTTAAAATTAATTTACCCTTAAGAAAGTTTTTAAAAATTAATGACTGTTTTGATAAAAAAATTTAAGGGCAGAAGTCAGGATAAACATGCTAGAGAAATTAAATATCCTCAATAGGTCGCTTTTGTAGTGATAAAATTAGAACATTTTTGTTTCTGATAAATTTTAAATGCTTTTGAGTAAAGGAACTAATGGAATGGAAAGGAAAATTCTAGAAACTGTAACCCTGCTTTCTCCTAAGTATTTGCAAAAGCGCCCCCTGTGGCATTCAGAAGAAATGGCCAGTTGGTCTACAGACTCTCACTCGAAGAGGATGTATATTTCGCTCATCCTGTGCGTAGCCGAGTATTGAGTTTTCGGCTTAGAAGTGGTCTCCTTCCAAGAATCTATAATTATCTATATTTAAATATGTTAGATAGTGTATGTCTCTAATTGTATGTGTATGGGGTTTGTGCGGGTGTGTAAATAAAGATGTGAGTTTTCCAACCAATCACACCCAGTTACAATCTAATTGTCCAACCTGCACGCTACAAAACCGCATAGATGAGCAAAACCTATGTGTTGATCTCATTTTCCGTGCTTTATCAAAATATAAACTCAATGAGGCGTCTCGCTGCAGATTTAGATATTTTAAAAAAATTAAAACTCAGAAGAAATATTAAATTTAAACATTCAAACAACAAGAATTATAATTTCATTTCTGCACGATGATTAATTGCCAGGCTTTTGAATCAAATATTTTATAATTACAACTCTAAATGGATTATTTTTAAATCTATTTATGCATTGCATAAAACAAAACAAAACAAAGACTGTTTTAAATATTTATAGTTAAGAAAATGGATGGCAGGAAAGCTGACATGCCAAAAAAAAGAGAGTGAAAATATTTTGTTCCACCAAAGCGGTGTCAGGGGATAAACTTTTGACTGGTTGGTTGGCTGGCTGGTTGGCTGGCTGGCTGGCTGGTTGGTTGGTTGGTTGGTTGGTTAGTGAATAAAAGGCCAAGCAATGTGCAGCATATAACTATAAAAGCTTTTAAGAGGTTAGTTCATAAAATCAGTTAAAATTATATTGCATAAAAAAACATATTTATAATAATTTGATAGAAATGATTTAAAAACTTAGCACTTCGCAAGGTTTAAAAAAATGACACCTAAAATTTCAATGCAATTAAATCAATCCGATATCGTTTCATTTTTATTGTATTTTATGACATCCTCATACTCAGAGAAACTGTCCAAAGGCATGATTGTTGAGTTGTGCGGTGGAGACTGCGATTTTTTTTAATCATTTTCTAATCGACAAATAGCGTCTTTCAAAAAATGAATTTTATTAATTATATTTCTTTTTCCGGTAAAATTTCTTTGGCCGAGTATTTTGGTACAACAGGTTTCCGGTTCGAGTCCCGGATGTTCCATGGATGTTTGTAATGGTTCGGAATCCACTTTAAACCGTAGATCCCGGTCTCATAGACTGTTGAACGTTTTGAAATTGTAGAGCTGATGTATTCCCTACCCCGGAAAAAACATCGCTCGTCTCGAAATCTACCGGTAGGTAGATGGACTTGGGCCCCACTGTGCTGTTGTGCCAACGAGGATGATGATGAAAATTTCTTTTAAGGTTCATTTTGGCCTTTAGCAAAAAATTGAAATTTATAAGGACAAACGACTTGAGCTGATATTTCTATTGCCGGAGTAAGAATGTCAGAAATCGCAGTATCTGTATATTTGTGATGTGCAAGAGATAACAAGTGAAGGTTTTGAAATTTTAAATGATGTATTCCAATACTCTTGCTATTTATTATGCTGGAAACAGAACACATTGGTTGAACTATTATATTATATGTAGTTATTGGTTTCTTTGAGATTTCAGCATAGGAAGCCGTCAATTGTAATGCTAGTTACAAGCCGACATTATAAACTTTTACCAAACATTTCACTTATTTTTGGATTTCGTACATTAAAACTTTATTCCATTGCTGTTACTGTTATATTTAATTAGATCACCGAGAATTTTCAAATGAATCCTTGATCACTCCTGTAATATATTTGAGTTCTGATATATAACAGGATGAATGGAGCACTCAGCTACACATTCTAGGACAACTTCCTCTTCCCTCCTGTAACAGATACATGGCACACACATTTCCCACGCATTGACACACATTTCCCACACATTGACACACATTTCCCACACATTGACACACAGTTCCCACACAGTGACACACAGTTCCCACTAGAATCTTTCAGACTTCCTCTACACGATGATCCATATAGATTTTAGAAAATCTATATAGCTTTGAATTTATTAACCTTTCTAACAGGATATGAAAACATAACGCTGCAATCCAGAACCTGCTTCTCATACGAATCGATTTTACAAATGTTTTGACATCATTAAAAATAGAGCAAAAGAATAAAGCAAAGTCATCGTGGTACCCCGAATTTTTTACATTCGTGCACATATTAAGGACATGTATCTTTGAAAATGTTAAATGTTTGAAGAACCACTGACTATCATATCTACAAAATTAGTATAAATAATGCTATAAAGAATCATGTACAATTTTAGTTAAATATTATCACGTTCTCCTTTTAAAACATGAGTGGTACCCAGCATCATGCATTTACTTTTCTTTTTAGCCAACGGCCGTACCATGCTGAATATACCGGTTCTCGTTAGATCACCGAAGTTGACTGGAAATGCGCGGCCAGCACTACTTGGGTGACCACCTGGGAACACCGCGTGCCGTTGGCAAATTTGGGACTTCTGAATAGCCGAGTGTCAACGCTCTGACACTCGGTGCCCCACAGGTTTCGGGTTCCAGTCCCGGCTTTGCCATGGATGTTTGAAGAACATTCGAATCCAACTTTAATGATCGTAGGTCCCGGTCTCCTATGACTGCAAGAGCGTCACGGAGCAAAATCAGGCTTCACCTACGGGTGCTCCATCACAAAAAGCTGCACCATCAACGCTTCAATCATGGACGTATATCGAGGCATGGCCAGCCATATTGGGATAAGAAACAACAACAACAACCAACGACTTTTCTTTTGTCCATGCCACGTTGAAATTCAAAATCAAATCTCTCGTATCAAATCAAATCCATCATATCCTCAGATACATTCTAAGAGGTACTCCCAAGACTTCATAGATAGATAAATTTGAAAGCATTATTATTGAAAGCAAATTGATGGTAACTCTAACTAGAAACTTGAATAAAATAAATATTTCCAAGAACAAAATAACTAGGTGTTTTTTTTTTAACCCTTATCAGATATGTTATTTTGATTCGTTATTATATTTTTTCATTTAATAAGTACATGCAGATGTGATTTATAATAAGCATATGTACTTGTCTTTTGAAAAACTAAGTTAAAACAAGAGCAATCATATATTCATGAGGAAATAACGGTTGGTTTAAGAAATTCCACAGTTACATTTTTTATGTTTAAATTAATGCGTTGGGTAAATAAATCCCCATCACCAAAAAAAGTAAATACATAGAAATTTATTCAAATATAAACCACTCGCAAGCAATTTATTATACATATATATATATATATCTTTTCTTAAGCGAAAAAAAATTCTTCTGTAGAAAATTTTTTTCTATACATTTCTTTTCAACAAAGAATATATTTTTTCCGCTGTTATTCGGACAGCTAGTTAATAATGTATACAAAGTAGTCATGTGCTTATGAGTGCATAAAATGTGCGACATTTGTTTTAGTGAATTTATTTAATAATGCGAATTTATGTGAATGGGAAGTGTGAATTTGTATTATTAAGCCATGTATAGCTAGATGCCATTTGTGCTTTTGCTACGGTCTAGTATGGTACAATCGGTATGCCTTTTTCCCCACACTTCAAATTTTGATGAGAGATTAAAGCAGCGGATATCCAGCTTTAGTTTAATAAAAAAAATTGTATATTTAAATATAATAAATATGTGTTATTTAGTGTTTATTAAAGACTAGAAATTCTCGTGCTTCTTCAATAACGGGATAGAGCTGAAGAAAGACCTCTTCTAATTCAATATGTTGTATCTCTACAATATTTACTGCCACAACCACGTTCCATTTAAAAATTACGTTCAATAGAAAGAATGTGATTTTCACCAAATAATTTATTAAAATGAGCAATTCTATTTGGATCAATATATCTAGTGAATACATTTATTTAAGGTTGAATAAAAAAAATTCGATATATCAAATTCTTTGAGTCACCAATTTAGTAATAAAAAAGCGACCTGGTGGCCAAGTGGCTAGAGCTCTGGACTTTGTATTAAACCCTTCAGGTTCGAATTCTGGAGGTGGCATGAATGTTTGTTAGCAGTTCGTAATCCACTTTAAACTGTAGGTCCAGGTATGTTTAGTCCTCGTGTGCCCAAGATGATCGTAGAGCAACAAACCAAACCAAACAATAAAAAAAATCTAACCAAATAATTAAACAATTAAATTTGTTTAATATTATTATCTTTTTCCTCGTTATATTATGGTATTAATTCATACAATAAAATGTAATTTATATTACATATATATATATATATATATATATATATATCCTAAATAACTTATTGTAATTTATATAAAGAAGATTGTAATATTGTTATTTGTACGAAGATAATTGTATAAAAAATTTAATTTAGATTGTAATATTATGGAGTCCCTATTTTCCAAATTAATATGGGCCAAGGTCATTTGCGATAATCAAATAAATAAATAGATAAAACCCTCGGATAAACTAGATTTACAAATATCATAACTAAATAAGGAGGGGAAATATAAATTAACAGCAAGGAAATATAAATTTACATACATTAATTTTATTACTGTATGTAATTACAATCCCTGTGATATACATTTCCAATAGCCTCTAGAAATAGGAAAAACTAATTTTCATAACGGTGTTAACCATTTTTACGAATATAAATTAGCGGTTAATTTTATCTGTTAAATTTAACACCTCTTAATTCTTTAATGCATGGTTAAGCTATGTGCATGATGATTATACAACCAAAAGCATTAATTTGAATTCTAACATAGAATATATTTATCGAGAAACCTACGAAGAGAAATGTCACATTTTTCTGTTATATATTTTGTATTTAAAAATTACATTTTTTTTCTTTTTTTTATCTGTAGAAACATAAATTTTCTAATTCAGTGTGATAGACTACAATAAATAAGGAGGAGCATTTTGATTTAGATTCTTTTCATAAAATTTTATTTTAAAAGATATATTATTTTTAGAAAAGTTTGTTGTTAGAAATTGTTGTTCACAATAAACAATTTAATTAATTAAATAAAATAATAGTTTTATTTATAATTATAAAAATATTATAGAAATTCTTTTAAAAAAGATTGCTAAAACAAATATTGTTTTGAATATATAATTTTTTTCATCCTTAAATATATCGAAAATGTTTTCTTAAATGCATCTCTGAAAACATGTCAATCCTAACTTTATGCATAAAACGCTGTATGTTGTCCTGTCGATAATCAGTTGTTCCATCTGTACAATATATTCTCGGCTAAATAAACGAATTAAAATGAGTTAATTCGTTTATTTCGTTCGTTATTAGTTATCCGTTTATTTAATTGAATTAAATAAACGAGCATATTTAAAATGTACAGTTTACGTATATATCAAATACAATTTTAAGGAAATAATATTAAAGATACAAACAAGTGCATAGATATATTCACAGTATCCCATGATAGTATCAGATTATAATTAAACCAGAATCACAATAACATGATTTTCAAATCAACTCTAACATTAATTAAGTCAAGCAAATATCAAGAAACGACTGTTTTGTTAAAAATAAAGATTAGTTAATATTTTAGTATTTTACAGTATTGTTTTTATGAACTCTGAAATTCTGTCACATACTTTCGCAAATTGATACTTCTGTCACAGTCTTATTTGTTGATATAAAAACAAACATACATAAATCACATTTTTTAAAATTTCTAAGCCTAGAAGAATAAATTTTCTAGTTCAATTATTAAAATATTCCATTTTGAAAATTAGAACACGTATAAAGCTTTATTTATATGAAAGCGATGGAAAGAATAATGGGATAGTATCGTCTTACACATTTTTCATACACATATATCTTTCATAATGCTTTTGTATTCACATTGTGAATTCGTAATTCATCAGCATCTAGAGATAATGATTTACCCTCTAATTTTCAAACAATAGCATGGAATCAACACAACAGTACATTAACGAATACATAAATCATTTTCATACTTAATTGCTGATAGAATAATCGCCCCACACTAAATTTCGCATGACAACCCATGGGATGATTTATGTTAATCATCTTCACCAGAAGTCAAAAGAAAATAAAAAAAAAAAAAAAACTTTTTTTCCAAAAACAAATAGAAAATTATTAATGTCTGATAATATTAGCACTTTCAGCCACCTAAACTCCTGGCGCTTTTTTTTACCGAATTTACCCCAAAACGGTGAGCATTAGTGCTCAAGCGATGTAAGGTTGGCCTGACAGTTAAAGTAAATGATAACTTAGTAGCTATATCTGGATTCATTTATGTTTCTTTTCTGAAAATCATAATGATTGCAATTTTTAAACACACTCGTAATGTGCGGCTTTTGATAGTTCACTTTTGTATACATTTTTACTTTTTCTTAATCATTCTGTGTGATTTTTTTAATCATAAAGAGGTAGAAAAACAAACCGAATGATTACAGAAAGATATATTTGCAAAACAATAATTTCGATTATGTACTACCTTCCACTGGAAGAAATAACCATTTTTGCAAGACAAGCTGAATACAATGTAGCCGTGGAACGGGTTAACTTTTGAAATTTTATCCTATAGTTTACAAAAAATAACATTTTCCTAACATTGAACTGATGTTATTTTATTATTATTATTTATTTATTAATTTTTATTTATTTTGTTTCTTTCTTTATTTATTTTATATATTCCTTTATTTATATTTATTTATTTTTATTTGCTTATTCATTTATTCTTTGTGCATACCAAGTAATACTGCCACATTTTTCCAATTTGGTATTACTACCTCCTGTAGATAAAGCATTTTTCACCATAAATCAACTCTAAGCAATTTAAATTATATGTAATAATAAAATATACAAATTATTTAGAAATATATATTATTATTATTTAAAATTTTACTTTTCACACATTTATATGAAAATGTTGTTGCATTTATTTAAAATGTTTCAAAATTAATTTTAATCACTGTGAAAATATTGATGTGACCTTATATTTCACAATGTGGCCTTATATTTCGCAATGTGACCTTACATTTTTTAATGTGACTTTATTTTTATCTCAAATGTGACCTTATAGTTTTTAATTTTACTTCAATTTTTCTTCAAATGTGACCTTATGTTTTTTAATGTGACTTTATTTTTACCTCAAACGTGACCTTATATTTTCCTTCTGATTTTAACAATTTATTTAGACTTATTTAGTTACTTGGTTCTTTTAGAAAAAATCAAATTTCGGCAAATAATCTACATTACTTCATACAATAAAATTCTTCTATTTTAACTAAATCATTTTTTCTCATCAAAGAAAAACAAACCTAAAGATTTCATTTTATAAACGAATAGATTTAAAGAAATCCTATTTGTTTATTTTATTTCCATTTTCTTTTCTACTCATGTTTATTAACTTGTTTTGGCTGATAATATAAACACACACAATTTTCTATGGAATAGTCCATCGGCTTTTCTTTGTTGTCGACA